GTGCACTAGCGGACGTTGTTGTGGGGACAACTCCGTGTACTGCAAAAAGTCGGATTCTGCGGAATTTGGTCACTAACACGCAGTACATATCCGCTGACACTCCCGATACTCATTCTATCACTATCCAACACTCCATACACTCACTCCATATTTTTCCATATTTTCCCCATCATTCCCGACAGCCCCAAGCCAAATTCCCACGCCCAACCATGCCGCCAATTTCACCCCCTCTCCAGATCTCCATAACCACACATACAACCCAGCCATTTTTCTACCCGTTGGTGATGCTATACCTTCCTCCTTTACCCCCGGAGCACTTCCCAGAATGGCAACCCCATATTCGGATGGCTCAGCACGGTGTATAGCCTCATGTGGTCTTGACAGCACCTGTCAATGGCCACATCCTATATTGATGCATTGGGTTCTCAATGCACTGCTAATCATTGAAACTGATGTTTCAGACTACTGTCAGGGTCATGCATACTTGCAATGAAGAAAGCCCCAGAAACCTAGTTGATAGCAAAGCTGGGGGACATGCCCACGCCAGCACATGGTCTTATGTACATGGTAGAGGCAGTAAGTAGTCAACTAACTAGTAACTGGTAGCAATGGATCAGAGAAGATAGAAGATCATGTGGCATCATAACTGACAGCTGCAGACCAGATCAAACCAGAGATGAAGAAGTGAAAAAGAAGAAGTTGATGGGAAACAGGTCATGTGGCAATTGTCAGGGCACACACCCTGACTAGCCCGGACCCGGACCCGCATCCGGACCCGCTTCCACCCGCTGCGCTTCCCGCATGCGCGCACGCTCCACGTGCCGCATGCTCCGGGCCCGGTTCCTACCCCTTCATGTGACTTCCGGGTATCCCTGGAAGTTTTGCTGATATTGTGGCCACTGTGGGAAGATGAGAAGTTAGCTTCCTTCTCATCTTCTTACCCACAGTAGGCAAGTGTACATTACTTGCCTTTATCTTATTCATCTCCTTACCCACAGTAGTTGTGCCCTGGACAGGGCTGGTTACACCACAGGCTGTGGACCATAGGGGAGGGTCATGGGGACCTGGGAGTTGTCCCCTGACAGCAATGCACTACTTACGCTAGCGACCTGAAGGTGTGCCCTGACAACTACATGATATCACGTATTATTTCTATACATTGTACTGATGAAGAGATATGACCTGTTGCTTTCCACTCATGGACATTGACAGTGTCATATCCATATCAACTCCGCCACACCTCTGCCCTACTCCGCCACCGTTCCAGTCCACCTCCAGTCCATCCTCCCCCTGCACCTCCACCATACCCTCTGGTCCACCTCCAGTCCACCTCTGCCTCCAATCTCCAGTACCTTCTCTGGTACCTCTTATCCTCACCCTAAATGTTTATTAATATTTCTATCCACCTAATATTACTACAGACCTCCTAGGACCTCTGCCACCCCTGCAAAGGTTTTCCCACTTCCTAATAGCTGTCGCTAATTCTACCCTTCACCTACCCACTCCACAATGCTCGTTAAGGTGATTCTCTCATGAACTTGCTGACCCAGCAAGTGGGTAAGTCCCTCTTGGGTTTTCCCTTTGTTTCCGATTTGTCTTGTATTATGTACATAAGTCATGTACTGTAGTTGATGGCACCTTAGTGCAAAATTGATGAAACCATCCCCCAGAGTTCATGCCCCTTGTTCTGAAGTTAAGGACCAGACTCCTAAAAGCATTACTGAATGTAGGCACAGTGCTCCTCTCCAAGTCACTGAGGCCACGGTCCTTCTGCCTGTTCTCTATCTCTGGCCTCCCTTCCCGGGAAAGGTCCAGGGATACTGCTCCTCCTTGCCGTGTTTCTGACAGACAGCACCGGAGCTCAACTATGACATGCATGACAAGGAGCTCCTAGCCATCATCAGCAAACCCAACCAGGAGGTATGAGAGCTCACAGAGCTAAGAACTTTGAAAATTGCAGGTCCCCCTCTCTGAGAGCTCATAGAGATATATTTGCCCACAGAGGACTATTAGCCCTATGAGCACCCTGAGCCCATGTTTAATTTTGCAAAATATTCAAAAAATCAAAAAGCTTGACTACAGTATCATGTGACTGGCCACAGTCAAGTCCCTACCCTAGGGTCAACTGGACAACAGTCTACTTAACTTGCAACCCCTCATGTGGCACTGCACACCAAGGGCACACAACCCAATTGATATATACACTGAATTTAGGGTTATAAATAGGGTTAATCCAAAATTACTTAGGGGAAAATGAGGGGAAAATTGAGGGAGGAAATGGGAGGAAATGAGGGGGGAAATGAGGGGGGGAATTGGTGAAATTTGGAGGGGAGAATGAAGGGGAAATGAGGAGAAAATTGAGGAATTGGGGGGGGAATGAGGGGAAAATTGAAGGGGGGGATGGGGGGAGAATTGCAGAGGGAATTGGGGGGGGGGGAAATTGAGGGAGGGTAAGTTTCCCTATTCCCCACTTGGCTGCTATAAAAGGGAAGTGTACTGTACAGTTCATAACATGACTCTGGGTAGAAGCCAAGCATGTTCCCACTACTCAGAAAAGGTGTCACATGGGTTAAGGAAAGTTGCTTGCCTTGACCCACGTGATTTTTCCCATGGGCTCACATGTGGGCTGTAGTTGTGAGAGATATGTAGGGATGGGGAGGTCAGGGAAGTGGGGGAAGTTAGGAAGGGTGGTTCTGGGGTGTGGTTGGGTGCCCTGACAGTGGGGTCAGGGGCCGATCCCTGACAGTATGGACCTCAGAGCTCTGTGAGCAAATTGAGTCTTTTGCTGTGCACCCTCTACACATAGAGTCAAGAAAATGAAATATATATATGATTTTGTTCTCATAAGGATGCAGAAGTGCAAAGATAATATGGATATCCATTTTTGGAAATGCATGTAAAATAGCCATCATCATCACTTGAAAAGCTCTATGAGCTCATAGAGCTTTGTGTTTTTTTTTTACTAATGAATGGTCTTCATGTCTCCATGGAATCTGCTGAGTTATCTTGGCACCAGTAGTGCAATGGTAATATGGATATATGTTTCTGTAAATGTGTGGAAAATAGCCATTCTCATCACTCCAAAGGCTCCAAAGGCTCTATGAGCTCTATGATCTCAGCAGGCTCATAGACCTCATAGACCTTTTGTGTTTACTGATGTATCCATGGAATATGCTGAGATACAGCACCTTGTTTATTGCTATTTGCAAAATTTGAGGAAAACTCCAAAATTCAAAACTTTACACTTTATCTTTCATCTCATTTCTTGCTCAAAACTCATCCAATTTTGATGATTCTATCTATGTGAATTGGAAAGCACTAAGTGTGGCAATGTAACCATGCATGTTATGTAGGGTATAAATCAGTGTCCCAAAAAGAGTAAATCTAAACTACAGCCCAATAAAGCAAACAGAAAGCTGATGTATCCTTCAGATATCATCCATACATCCATACATCCATACCAAGCCTTTTGAATTGTTAAAATTGGTTTAGTTTTGGGTGAGAAGGAGATGAAATATATAGTGTAAATTTTTGGATTTTGGAGTTTGCCTTGAAATTTTCAGATAGCAAAAATTTTATGATAGAAAGGTGATTTCAATTTTTTAAAATTATTTCTAAATGTCCTGACTCCCTAACATTTCCCAAGATTTCTGAATTTTCCCTAATTTTCCCTGATTTTTTAGAAATTATCTTTTTTTTGAAAGTCCCCCATTTCTCCCTAATTTTCCCTGACTTTTTTCAAGTTTTTAGAAACCCCCCAGTTCCCCCTCATTTTCCTCCCATTTTTCCCTTCATCCCCCCCCCTCAATTTCCCCCCTCATTCCCCCCCAATTCCCTCCTCAATTCCCCCCCATCCCCCCCTTCAATTTTCCCCTTTCCCCCCTCATTTCCCCCCCCAATTCCTCCTTAATTTTCTCCTCATTTCCCCCTCATTCCCCCCTCCAAATTCACCCCATTCCCCCCCTCATTTTCCCCCTCATTTCCCCCCTTCAATTTTCTCCTCATTCCCCCCCCAATTCTTCCCCAATTCCCCCCTTCAATTCCCTCCTCAATTTCCCCCCCATTCTCCCCCCCTCCAAATTTCCCCCATTTTCCCCCCATCTCCCCCCTTCAATTTTCCCCTCATCCCCCCCCCCCCAATCCCCCCCTCAATTTTCCCCTCATTTTCCCTCCCATTTCCCCCCCATCTCCCCACTCATTTTCCCTAAGTAATTTCAGATTAACTACATTTATATCCCTAAATTTGATCTACATATTGATTGGGCTATATACCCTTGGTGTGCAGTGCCACATTGGTGCTGAAAGTTAAGCTGAGTTTGTTCAGTTCCTTGTATAGTAGGGACTTGGCTATGGCTATGGCTAGTCACATGATGCCATAGTCAATGCTTTTAAATTTTAATTTTAATATCAGGTAAATTAAACACTCAGGGAGCTCATATAGTAATAGTCCCCTGTGTGCAAATACAGCTCTATGAGCTCTCAGGCCTCCACATTCAGGTTTGCTGATGAGTCATGTGGTTAAGTGGCAACTTCCGGTTACCACTTAACACTACTGTAAAATACACACTTCTGTAACACTTATGGACTGGTGTGCTGAGTGACCCGCAAGACCTCACACTGAGCCATATAAATGTAAATACAGTTGTTTACATTGTACACAAAGAATAAAGAACAAACAAAGAATGCATGCATCACCACTCCACCACCCATCCCTTACAACTGGCAACCACCACAGTATATGTGCCTTGTGTGCAGTATCCCCATGCTCATTGTGTTTCTCTTTCTTGACTACCATTGCATGCAGGCATCTCTTCTCCAAGGTGACTACTCCATTGAAAATTTCCCCCCTGCTATTTTGAATCTGGTCATCCAGGATGCTCAAATCCATGCTGATGTCATAAATGCTGGGCATGTGGTGGGCATGCAGCTGGTTTGTGGATCAATTTTGCTCGTTTTTCACAATAGCGATTGACAGATAGCAAACAAAAGGCCAGGGTCTGATGAAAAACCATTGGTACTGGCATGGCAAGCTCTCAGTTGGAGGTGTGCTTGGCCAAGTCCAACTGGGCTTCAACTTCCAGAGCATTGCTTTGAATCAAGGTGAATACAGAGGCAGCAGCCACATCAGCCATTCCAACTCCAACCATGCCTTCAGCATCAGTGGTGGTGGCAGCATCTACAGTGACTTTGGGAGCCAAGGGAAGCCACCCCCTGTTGAGGAAGGTGTCAAGGTCACCATGGCCATATGTGGCATTGAAAGTGAGGAGATGAGGGTCATGTCAGGGCACACACCCTGACTAGCCTGGACCCACATGTGCACTCTGCCCCACATGCCACATGCTCCAGGCCCTGGTTCCCATCTCCCATGTGACTTCCAGATATCTCTGGAAGTTTTCACTATATTGAGGCCACTGTGGGAAGATGAGGAGTTAGCTTCCTTCTCATCTCTTACCCACAGTAGATTGTGCCCTGGACAGGGCTGTTCACACCTGAGGCTGTGGACCATAGGGGAGGGTCATGGGGACCCAGGAGTCATCCCCTGACAGGTCAGCAGTGACATAGATGACCTATCCCCAGAAATGATTGCCCTGACTGATGGCTGGATCATCAATTATCTGAGGGTGCACCTGCCCTTGGCATTTTTGAGATAAGGCTCCACCCTTGCACAGATGCATCATACAGCACCTGCCACTCCTTCTCCTTCAACCTCAAGGCTGGCACTACTGTTGGCGACCACCTCCACTCCATCAGATCACATCCCATGCAGCCATTCATGTTCTGCAAGATCAATGGCACCTTCCTCAGCTGCCAAGATGGAATGTACACCAGGTGGCATCTGCTTGGATGGATGAGGGGTGGATGGTGCACCACCCTATATGCCTGGAGAGCCTGTTCCAACACCTCTTCTACCTTCTTGGGTGGTGTTACACGAAGCTTACCATGGACCTGAACCCCAACACCAGCAACAGCATCGACGACAATGATGGCCTGGCACAGTCCACATGGATCTTGCAGAGCATGCAAGGTGACTCCATCAGAGCCACACTCAACCCCATTGATCATGCCATATGGCCCAATGGATTCATGCACCGCCCCCACCCTCTGCTCCAATACAAGCAACCACCCAGCCAGCCTGCTGTTGCCTTCCTGCCAAATTGATGTGTATGTCACCAGCACTGTCCAATATGTCATCACCATCATCCAACACGTTGTCCAATGTGTCACCACATCGTTGTTGAGGCCAGAAGAAGCACTGATCTAAGCTGCATTCAACAACTCTCCCTTCCCCCATCACTCCCATGCCATTATTGCCCATGACAATTACATTCCTTTCCCTGTTCTGACATGCACTGCTGTTGCTGGCAAGAACAGGCACCCTTGTCTTTCCTTCCCAAACCCTCCCCATGTTTCTGGAAACACCTTGGAAACCTTGTGATGATTTGGAAAACCTTTCTGCATCTCCATCCAAATGTGCCCTCTATCCTCCATTGGAATTACAAGAATGTAAATTTCAAAGTCAATGACAAGAAGATGGTCACTGCAAAGCAGTTGGTACAGGATATTGTGTGAGGCTAAATGAAAAGAACAATCTCAAGAACACTCATCGACCTCAGCTTCACTCAGACCCTGCCCAGGACCACTAATAATTTAAGCTTGATATCCTGAAAGACATCATGAAGCTCACCATCTCCTTCCTTGGCTGACCTACAGTGTAGGCAGGTTATGTTTGACACCTCATTTGCTTCCAGAAGGATTTCCCTTTCATGGCTCACAATTTGAGTCTAAACACCATTCTAACTATCAGAAAAGCATCACAAATGTACATTCTATTGGTCTATCAGACCACTTTTTCATAATTTAGGGTAATGAAAAATTTTCCTCCAAAGCAATGTCCACCTATGCCATCCTAATTAGGAAACTGTGACCTAATAAGGTGGAAACCCTGTAAAAGGAAGGCAGTATTGTGCATTATGATACATATGTGAAAATTATGTGCTGCCAACCACCCTGAAAATGCCTGCCCCTAAGTGGGAAGTTCAAAACTGTGGAAAATCTGGTTTTAGACTCCTGCAATCTTGTCTCAACCTGCTGTTTCTTCCAAATAAACTGGGTGCTATATGGATGCATAAGTAAGCTGTCATCATAGTACCTTTTTATTGTTCATTGCTGTATAGAAAAGGTCTAACTGGGATACAGGCTGAGCAGTTGGGAAGTACCCAGATGCATCAAAACAACTCTCTTTGAGTGAGCACACTTGAGTACCTTCCAAAAAAGGAAATTCTGGTTGGTTGCCCTCCACACCCTGTGGTCAGGTCAACACTCCCACTCCCCTCAGGACCTCTGCTGGTCATCATGCTGTCCTTGTGATGGCACTGACAGGTCCACCTCTGTCTCACGGACTTGTGTTGGTGCCATGTGCTGAACTCTGCTTTTGCTCTGGCCTTTTGCCACTTGGCAGCCTATCATTCATTCCTTGCCAAGTGCCTATTATGCTTATTCATCCATTTGCTTAACTTGTCAATATTGGTGTTGATCTGCTTTTATTGACATTAGGTTGTTGACCCCATTGTTCTTCCCATCAATAACCCTCATCACTCATTGTTGCTCATTCATTTCTCACTTCCATCTTCCAGGCTCTTGTCCTTCATTCAGTTTGACAATCCCCATTTATTTCTGTGCCAGACCACACCAGACTGACCAGCCCTTCTATGTTTTCCTCCTGCCAATTTATATCCTGTAAATACTTTCAGGGCTGTGCCATTGCTGGTTGTCCTGGGGGTCCCTAATTTCGGATCTAGCAGAGGGGAAGTCTCTTGGGGGAATTCAAGTCGATTTCGGACTGAGGTTACAAGTTACTAGGTACATTGTATATAAGGAGGGGTCCAGAATCAAAAGGAACAAGGGTAGGACAAAAGGAGACAAAGGGAGATGGAAAGAGGAACAACACCGAGGGTCAAGTGTTTGACTCAATGGTGTTTCCCAAAGGAGGAATGAAGGGCCAAGGCCCAAGAAGGAAGGAAGGAGGATGGGAGTCAGGAATGGCTAGCTGACTGAATAGAAGGAAGCAGCAGCCCAAATAGGAATGAGGGAGAATAGCGGAATTGAAATGGACAATGCAATAGTTGCAAGGTCCAGAGTAAGTCCGGAAAGTCCGAACTCAGAGGTTAAACTCCGGAACATTGGCAAATGTAATTAAATGGAATGAGCTAACCAATACAATGGGTATAAGTGGAGGTGGGGTCAAAGTCCAAGGTCGGAGCTAAGACCAGAGGTTCCAGAGATGGAGACACAAAACAGGATTCCGGAGTGGAGGTCTGGAGTCAGGAACATAGGTGTTGCATGCTCGTCTGGAAGGTGTTGAGGATGAGGTTGGACCCGGAATGTTCCGGAGTCGGACCGAAGGTGGTGTTGGAGCCGGAGGTGGGATAACCTCTTGGAAGTCAGCAAGGAGGAGGTGGCAGAAGGGAAGCAGGACTCTGGAAGTCAGGTTCAGAGTTCTGGGAGCCCGGAACAGAGGTCGGGATTGTATGGATATGACAAGAGTGCAAGATACCCAAGTGGCCACTTTTTGCTTGTCACTAGCCTCATCAGGGGGGCCAGTTGGTAGATCTGACTTGTGAGGAAGGAGTGAGATGCTCTCTTTGGTGGGATACTGGTGACAGGCAGAGCATGTGCAAAATTGCAATATGCCCATTATCATTGCCATAGCCAACCTTCTTGCCTGAAAGGAGGAATAGCAAAAATCAGCTGCCCTCATATTTATTAATCCCAATTGGTTGAGGTCTCCCTGTTTTCCTGTCTTCTTCATCTGAGCAACATGCTCATTCCAGAGCCACAGCTTGGTCTCACACTGGGCCAAGAGTTGACTAGCTATTTGGTTGTGTGGTGATGCAACATCTGACTGATCATAGACACTCAGAGACTGTCTTAGACTATCCATTGAGCCAGGGACCCAATCCAAAGATGACATTGCAGTTTACATTGTGGTTTGCATTGTGGTTTTCACCCAAGAAGACATGTGAGTGTTGGGTGAGATTGTGGCCAGAAGACATAACAGCACCATCAAATTCCAGAAAGTCTGAGTCAGCTGACACAGTGCACAGCAAAGTGAGGGTTAGCATGTTGGCTAGGGGTGGTGGGGGCCTGGCTTACCAGCCATGCTAAATTCTTGCCAACTCTCCACATTTTCATCCACACTTGATGGGGCCTCCCTGGTCAGAACCCATCATACTGCAGCAGCCCATTCATCATTTGAGAAAGCTGGGTGCTCCTTGGAGCAACCCTCTGGCCTCCTCATCAGTGTCACCTCCAGTCTCACTGGAAGGTTTCTACATTCCCTGAGGTACTCACTGTTTGGGAAAAATTGTCATGGAATTTTTGGTGGTGATGAGAGTAGGTAGCTGGTGATTTGTTGGGATACCCCACAAAAATTGAATCTCATTCCTAACCTCACAGTATGTCACAGCCATGCATTCCAGCCCATTAGCCGCCCATCCTGATGCTGCCCGAGCCCATTCCCACCACATGAATGTGAGCACAAGCCCTGACCTCAGCCCTATCCTCCATGAGGACCCCCTGCTCACTCCCCTGCTTGCCCCTAGGCTCCCCTGCACCTGGCCAACTCCCCCACAGCCACACCAACCTTCCTGCCCTTAGTCCACCTCTGGCACCGTGCCCAGCACAACTCCTCTACCCTGCCCACTTGGCCCCTACAGGGCTGCTACCATTCCTGCACCCAACTCCGGCCCAACTCCAAGTCCAGCACCGCTATGATACCATTGCTGCTATTGTGGCCCTACACTCCTTCCTTTATTTATCTATTATTGTTTTTGACCCTCGGTCATTGCCAGCTGCTGTGTGGCCAACCCTGCTCCTTGTTCCCTTTTGCTTCCGGACCCCTCAGCCTTCAGCCTGGGTCCACTTCCATTCATTCTTTCTCCCTATATATATCCTGTATGATACTTTATTTTACCTTAGCTCCAATATCAATATGACCATGACCTCTCAAGTCCTGACCCCAGCAAGGCAACCCCAGTGAGTCTGAAATGAGGGCCAAGAGACAGCTAGGGGGCACAGCGCTCCTTTAGAGTTGCTGAGGCCAAATGCCCTACCCTTAGGCCTTGTTCACAGCATCATGGCCATCATGGCCTATAGTGGCCTGCAACGGCGACCCTTGGTGCCGACCCCGGACCCATGTCTAACACAGTACTACAACATACCTTTTCATGGAAGTCTCTCCAGAGGGCATATGGAGGAAGTCCAGGGTTCAGAGCAGTGTGGGGTTGGGTTGTCAAAGATAGTAATTGTCCTGGGCTGAAGTTGCAGGCAGAAAGAGGAGACCCTTGCTCCTATGGAGCACAGGGGACTTTCATCTGGGGGGACTCATCAGCCCTTTTTGCCTAGTATTTATACTTACACAGTACAAGTCTGTGCACCTGGAAAGCATCCCACATCTGAAATCCTATTATTAATCTTGGTTGATTTTGGGTGGAAATCAGATTTGTCATACTTTGTAGTTATCTTAGAAATATGATAAAATATGCAACAGAAAGCTACAATGCTGTAGAATTTAATGGAGCCCTTTATTTCCATAAAAGGCAAGTAGTTTTCCCACTATTTTACGAAATAATGGACCCAGCCTTGTTGAAACTCAAGATTAACTATTCTTAGGACAGCCTATCTTTTTTGTTTTATAAACAGAAGTAAAGAGCAGGGTTGGCCACATAATGGCTGGCAATGACTGTGGGTTGAAACAAACAATAACAGATAAACAAAGGAGCATAGGCTGTGATAGCAGCGATGGTAATGGTAGTGGTGCTGGACTCAGAGTTGGGCTGGAGTCTGGCATGGGAATGGTAGTGGCCTGGTGAGGGCCAAGCAGGTGGAGTAGGCAATGTCATGGAGTCATGCTAGGCACAGTGCCAGAGGTGGATTCAGGGCGGGGAGGTTGGTGTGGTTGTGGGGGAGTTAGCTAAGTGTAGGGGAGCCTAGGGGCAAGTGGGGGGGTGAGCAGGGAGTCCTCAGGGAAGATAGGGATGAGGTCAGGGCTTGCACTCACACTTGTGCAGCAGGAATGGGCTTGGGCAGCATTGGGACAGGTGGCTGGTGGCTGGAATGCATGGCTGTGACAGGATGGAAAAATGTGGGGTCTTCTGGAGTGGAATATAATGAGTAGATAGATTGGGAACTGGGTTGGGTTGTGTCAGAGACCAGATTTAAGACGAAGGAATGTCTCCGTAACGGAGGGCTTTGGCCTCAGTGACTTCTGCCAGGAGCGCTGTGCCTAGTGACACGTCCGTGCCCTAACTTACTGACTGGCACCTAGAACCTAGTGGGGGTAACTCTAGTTGATTTATCTGCTGGGGTGTAACCTATGTACAAGTAGTGTATATATATGGTTACAGCGGAGACGGTTCCGCAATTGGCGGAGCCGGACGGAGCGGAGCTAACGGGGTTAAGACATTAGCCGACTGAATATTACCGACGAGTCGGTTCGCGGGGTTAGCGGAAAGGCAGGCGTTAACCCAGAAACGGAAAGGAGGGATAGGCCCGAAGGTGGACTCTGCAGGGCAGGCGAGTGTATTGCCCAGCGGAGGCGGGAGTGCGCTAGCAGATGTCGGAGCTGTCCGGAAGTCTTCGGGGCTCCGTACTTAGGGAGGCGTAGGTAATAAATTGAAATGAGGGGGTGGTAACCATCGAGGGGTACCGAGAGGTTTGCGGAATACGGGGGCTCCGAGGTTGGTGAGGGGGGAGCAGAGTTAGAACGGAGGGGTCGGAGAGCCCGGAAGTCGATGGCCGGGAATGGATATGACAGGTTGGGACAAATCATGTGTTTTTAGTAATTGAGTGTTTTAGAAGATGAGGGGCACAGAGCAAAAGGGAGGACCTTATCCCACAGGAGATACATGTACTTTTGTCTGAGACTCATCAGCTTTTTGCCCTTAAGGTATTTCTATTTTCTGAGGACAGTCTGTGCACAGGGACAGTGGGATGTTTTTAAGGGAAACATCCCAACATACTTAAATAAGCAATGGAAAGCTTAATAAGCAGGCACCAAAGACAAATATAAACTTATATAATGTATCTATAAAGGATATATTATGACCCAATATAGTAACTAACTGTTTGGTGGTTGTATTAGGTGTTTGGGTGTTGGGTGGGGTGGGTTTTTGTGAGGTCTTGTGGGTTGCTCAGCACACTAGTCCATAAGTGTTACAATGGTGTGTATTTTATGGTAGTGTCAAGTGGTAACTGGAAGTTGCTGCTTAACCATGTGACTTTAAGTACACCTTTGTTGCATAAGACTCAGGGTTCAGGGCTATTGCCCTGATAGTTTTGTTTCCCCCAAGGCCTACAACTTTATACCACCCCATACCCTTTCAGACTAGCATCCCCATGTGCCTCTGAATGTGATGCTAGGACACATCTTCTCCAGGAGTTGGTGGTCTCTTAAGTTAGACACTCTTTTCTTACTAAGTAGGAGATCACAATCAGATTTGTACAAGTCAAAAAGAAGCCTTCACCTCCAACCCAGGACAGGAGATTTCTCTTGCTCCATGACCCAGGAGAGTGGCCCTTCACCATCCTGAAATCTCATGACAGAAGGACTTGGAGGATCAGTACATCTGATAACAGACTTTGGCTTGGTGTCATATCCATGCATACCCAATCCTAACTCGGCTTCCAGACCCTCCTCTTCACCACCTCTGGAGTCCTACCCTAACTCCAATCTCCACTTTGGACCCAACACCACCTCCTCTCTCCTGACTAACCTCTGCTAAGGTATGACCTCCCGCTGCCACCCTGTACCCTGTACTCAGACACCACTTGTACCTCCACTCTGACATCCCATCATGCTCCTGACCTCAGACTTTGACTCCACCTCAGCTATTGGTGACCTCATTTTACATAAACACCATTGCCAATATTCCTCAGACTTTCAACCCTGCCTCCATAAGCTCCATTACCTCTGAGCTTCATGGACCTACCTCAGCACCTTTTGCCATCAGTATTGTATATCTCACACTTCTCCCTCACCCCTATTTGGACTACTGCTTCTTTACATTTAGCCAGTTAGTCATCAACCCCACTTCACCTCACCCTCCTGCCTGTCAGGGGACAACCCCAGGTCCCCATGACCCCTCTCTCTATAACCCACAACCTGACCTGTAACAGCCCATCTCAGGGCACAATGCTACTGTGGGTAAGTTCCCACAGTGGCCCCAATATGGTGAAAACTTCCAGGGATACCTGGAAGTCACATGAAGAATGGGAATCAGGCCCAGAGCATGTGGTGCATGGAGTGTGCAGGGTGGAAGTGCACATGTGGGTCTGGGTCTGGGCTAGTCAGGGTGTGTGCCCTGACACTGCCCCTCTGGGCTCCACTCCTTTCAGATGTACCATAGAGTCTAACCCTTGACCCTCAGTACCACTCCACTTCCGTAACTCCCTTTGTCCCCATTTGGATGCCTTTGTTCTGTTTCAGACCACCTTTGTTTTCCTGTGCTTTCATCTCTCTATTATATGTAGGTGCTTGTACATACTCAATTGACCCTCAGTCTAAAATCGACTAGAATGCCCCCCAGAGACTACTAGCTATGTCTGAAATTAAGGACCCGAGCAATGGCACAGCACTCCCCTTGAGTTGCTGGGGCCAAGGTCCCTCTTTGCTAAGTCTCTGGTTCCACTCCAGGATCATCTGCACTTGCCCCATTCTAACACTTGGGAACATACTTATCCAAGGCATATGTTTTCTCCCAAAATGGTAGCATCAAAGGAAATTTCTATATTGGGTAATTCCTGATTTGGAATGTTCCATCTATAATAGGAAATTTCCATAGAGGGAATTCCCTGTATGGAAAATCTCCTTTTATAGAGTTTCCCTTTTAGGAAATTTCTCTTTATAGAAATTTCCATGTATGGTAATTTTTTCCCAGGAGGGAGGGCTTCTGTTAAGTCATAATATCTCCT